TATCAACTGGTAAAGCAATAATTTACACCACTATATATATCTGTTTCATTCGTAATGTTGTTCTTTTGCTCTCTTTTAATCATATACTAACACTATCAGCAGGTAGGCGGATTTTACGACTGTTTCATTCGTTATTGTATCCGTTTATGGATGCACTTACTCTTTAAAGCAGTTTAACTAATAAAATTAAATCAAGTCTTACCTAATACATCCAACTGTAGAGCCATATATTTAGCAGCTGCATAACCTGAAAGTGTCAGAAGGAAAGTAAACAAAGGTTATCTCTACGAATTTACAATAAGATATTACTGGAATAATGAAGATAAGATGACTGTCTAATTATAAATATAAAAATACGAACCATCTATAGAGGGCGTGATGNGAAGGGGGGGGGGGGGGGGGGGCAAAACGATACCCAAAATCCAAAACAACATATTGGTAAAACATTGGTAGCAGCTAATGAACTTTTCATATTAGGAAGTATACCAATCATAACTGAGAAAGCATTTCATAGTGGTAATGAAATTATATTACAATTTCGTTTATTTTTCGTCATAGTGTAACCCAACAATTATTCTACTACTTCTGCGTTCTAATAACGTTATTTTTAACCAATCAAAGTGTGTCACGTAAGATCTTTTTCTTAATAACGAGGGCGAACAGGTCTACTGCACCTAGGTCAACTCGACCCCTAGTGGCTGACAGAGTTTCGTTGATTATTCATCTTTTTCGCCTGGATTGTAATCTGACGATTATGCTACAACTATTGCGTTCTAATAACGTTATTTTTAACCAATCACATTGTGTCACGTAAGATCTTTTTCTTGATAACGAGGGCGAACAGGTCTACTGCACCTAGGTCAACGCGACCCCTATTAATAGAATATCGTTGATTATTGATTATAATTATCATTGTCTATAGCTAAGCAATTTCCATATATTCCTCGTTACTTATTGACTCGTAATTTCTAACTACTTTTAACTGTCTAGTAACCAGTTGTCATCAATTATTAATTCTGATTTGATATGGTTGATTTATTCAGGTTTACCCATTAACTCTTCTTGTTAGGAGCCGCAGTGGTTCAGTGAGTTAGGCGCTAGCTCGCTAACCTGAAGGTCCAGGATTCAATCCCGGCATAGGTCGAGATAATAACTTCGGATATTTCAACCCGGTTTCCCCCTGTCAGTGCGGATGGAACAATAAACCATTTCATTTATTCTTCTTGTTTAAACAATGTTTATAAAAGGTTAGGATAATGTATTTGATAACGATTTGGTAAAAATTAGAATGAACACGACGTGAAAATGAATTTCGTTAGATCACGGATGATGAGTGCAGAAAAAATGGAATGGCAAAAACTACCAGATATCGCATTGGCAATGAAATCTCTCAAAAGCTACCATTTATCAGAATGGTGTAAAAAGAAGCTATAAGTGTCTCTGATACATATACAAAGACTAGAAAATCAGAATGGTGTAAATAGAAGTTATAAGTGTCTCTGATACACATACAAAGACTAGAAAATCAGAATGGTTTAAATAGAAGTTATAAGTGTCTCTGATACATATACAAAGACTAGAAAATCAGAATGGTTTAAATAGAAGTTATAAGTGTCTCTGATACATATACAAAGACTAGAAAATCAGAATGGTTTAAATAGAAGCTATAAGTGCCTCTGATACACATACAAAGACTAGAAAATCAGAATGGTTTAAATAGAAGTTATAAGTGTCTCTGATACACATACAAAGACTAGAATATCAGAATAGTGTGAATAGAAGCTATAAGTGTCTCTGATACATATACAAAGACTAGAAAATCAGAATGATGTAAATGGAAGCTATAAGTGTCTCTGATACACATACAAAGACTAGAATATCAGAATAGTGTGAATAGAAGCTATAAGTGTCTCTGATACACAAACAAAGACTAGAAAATCAGAATTATGTAAATGGAAGCTATAAGTGTCTCTGATACACAAGGATGAATCCCATTAAAAAGGGTAAACTTACATCATCGTTAAGATGTTTCAGTTTTTTTTCAGAGTTTAGTGTTCCCGTACCATAGTATATGTAATAACCCGGGCTAGTGGTGTTAAAATATAGATTGGTCAAATAGCACTCTTCTTCTTCAACTATAGTGAATCCCAAAACGGTAGTTGGTCCAAAACATTTCTTAAATAAAAATATAGCTCATATCGAAACATTGCTAATGTTAAAATTCAGCTTCAGTAAAGTTACAGCTAATATTAAAATATAGCTCATATCAAAATATAGTTTATATCAAAATATAGTTTATATCAAAATATAGGTTATGTTAAAATATAGCTCATATCAAAACATTGCTCATATTAAAATTAAGCTTCAGTAAAAATACAGCTAATATTAAAACATAGCTCATATCAAAATATAGTTTATATTATAATATAGCTCATATCAAAATATAGTTTATATCAAAATATAGTTTATGTTAAAGTATAGCTCATATCAAATCAAAACATAGTTTATGTTAAAATAGCTTTTATCAAACTACAGCTCAACAAAATATAGCCCATATTAAAACCCAGCATAAAACACTATATAGCTTATATCAAACCATAGCTCATCAAAATATAGCTTATATAAATCCATAGCTCATATCAAACCGTAGCTTAAATAACTATATAGCTTATATATCGCTCTTGATTACCCATACCCACTTGAAACAATAGAGACCCACCTATTCTGTTTTTGAATTCATAAGATCTAAAGAGTGATCAACACCCCTACCACTATCTCGCACCAGACCCCACGTCCCCATTTGAAACAATAGAGACTCACCTTTTCTATTGTGGAATTCGATGTAATGTTGATAACACCTAAAGCTTCAGACCCAAACAATGAATCGATCAACTGAGTATTAAAAGTTCTGTACTCTGCAAGAGAAAATATATCAAATTTGTGATTAATTAAAATGGCAGAGAACTGTATAATCTGAGCAATGACCAATCCTATTGTAAAAGATTACGAACTGATTCGGACTAATGCCCTGTTTTGATAAAATTTCCCTCAGCTTGCTGCTGATCTTCATCATAAGGCTAAACTCAGGGTTTTTCTTTCATTACGGTACAGTAGGATATAAAAATGCATTTCATTTCATTAGCTCAATAAGGTACAGAACAGTAGGATATAAAACTCCATTTCATTTCATTAGTCTAATAAGGTACAGAACAGTAGGATATAAAACTCCATTTCATTTCATTAGTCCAATAAAATACAGAACAGTAGGATATAAAACTCCATTTCATTTCATTAGTCCAATAAGATACAGAACAGTAGGATATAAAACTCCATTTCATTTCATTAGTCCAATAAGATACAGAACAGTAGGATATAAAACTCTATTACATTTCATTAGACCAATAAGATACAGAACAGTAGGATATAAAACTACATTTCATTTCATTGGTCTAATAAGGTACAGAATAGTAGGATATAAACTCCATTTCATTTCATTAGTCTAATAAGATACAGAATAGTAGGATATAAAATGCATTTCATTTCATTAGTCTAATAAGGTACATAACAGTAGGATATAAAACTCCATTTCATTTCATTAGTCTAATAAGATACAGAACAGTAGGATATAAAACTCCATTTCATTTTATTAGTCTAATAAGGTACAGAACAGTAGGTTATAAAACTCCATTTCATTTCATTAGTCTAATAAGGTACAGAACAGTAGGATATAAAATGCATTTCATTTCATTAGTCTAATAAGGTACAAAACAGTAGGATATAAAACTCCATTTCATTTCATTAGTCTAATAAGATACAGAACAGTAGGATATAAAACTCCATTTCATTTTATTAGTCTAATAAGGTACAGAACAGTAGGTTATAAAACTCCATTTCATTTCATTAGTCTAATAAGGTACAGAACAGTAGGATATAAAATGCATTTCATTTCATTAGTCCAATAAAATACAGAACAGTAGGATATAAAACTCTATTTCATTTCATTAGTCCAATAAGATATAGAACAGTTGGACATAAAACTACATTTCATTTCATTAGTCCAATAAGGTACAGAACAGTAGGATATAAAACTATATTTCATTTCAAAAGTCCAATAAGATACAGAACAGTAGGATATAAAACTCTATTTCATTAGTCCAATAAGATACAGAACAGTCGGATATAAAACTCTATTTCATTAGTCCAATAAGGTAAAAAACAGTAGGATATAAAACTCTATTTTATGTAATCGGACCACTCGGATCAATAGTTTTTAGTTCAATAAGGTTGAGAACAGTAGGGCGTAAAACTCCATTCAATTTAAGATACCTACCATCTACGTTGAAAACGTTCTCAGACGAGACACTGCCACAGGTTTGATCTGGATTACCCTGACAAGGCACCGTGCAATCAGTAGCTTCTAATCCAATTCCGCCAGTCACGTTTGTACACGAACATTCACTCTGAACATAATGAAAACAACATGATCAAACTACTGAATAATGTGATTTAGAAGCTATAAGTGTTCCTGATACACATACAAATACTAGATCTAGATCGCTATAGTATGACGGTCCTTTAAGAGAAAAATCTTTTCTGATATCCATAAAGAACAAATGAGTACCTACCGACCGTAAGGCTAATATTAAATACGAGTTATCATGGCAAGCTGTTGCACAAGAATCAATAGTTAACGGCGTAGTGACAGTTACAGGCGTAAATCCCCCTCCGGATCGACAACCTTGACTGACTGAAAAAAAAATAAATGAATAAATGAATGAACAAATGAGCAAATGATCGAATGAGCAAACGAATGAATGAATGAATCAGCTAACGAGCGAAAAAAAAACGAATGAATGAATGAATGAATAGACGAACTAGCGAACGATTATTGAATAAATCAAAAGTCCCGTCTTTACGAAAAGATAGAAAAAGAATTAAGGTTAATATCGCTGTACTGCCAAATTTCCTTTATTGTTTACTGCAGTACGTTGATCGCATTCACTCGCATTCACCCGCATTCACCCGCATTCACTCGCATTCACACGCATTCACTCGCATTCACACGCATTCACTCGCATTCACTCGCATTCAGTCGCATTCACCTGCATTCACCCACATTCACTCGCATTCACCCGCATTCAACTGCATTCACCCGCCTCCACCCGCATTCACCCGCATTCACTCGCATTCACCCGCATTCACTCGCATTAACCCTATCAAGTTTACCATACAGATTATATTTTCAGTTTTCTTATTCTTCAAGCCATCATGCTTTAATTACACTAGAATTAAACTTTGTTCAATCTTAAATAAGACAGTTTGTTCGCCCTTGTTCCATCAATTAGTTGATGGAACAACTAATTCCAATTAGAGCATGATAGCTTTAATGTAGATCCACATTAGCGCCACAAGCGTTTGGGAATCTTACCTTCTGTGTTTAGATTGCCCTCCCCTGTGATGATCATGTTGCCAACAGACGGTGCGGAATAATATTGTTTAAAGATGATGCTCCCTACCATCGTGTTCTCCACAGAATTTTCATCTGGAACCAATATCAGGTCATTCGTTCTGAAAATTAAACAAAAGAAATAATAAATCTGGCAAGCAGGTCAGTTAAAGCACTAATTTAAAATTGGTGGTGCGTCTGAGAGCCTTACCATTCCACATACATGTAAACATAACCGAATATAAGGTACAAGTATGCTGGTTTTAATCTAATAGCCTAATACCCATCCTGGATCATTCAAGATGACACTATCAATGAGGTAGACATGAAATAAGCCCAATAGCCATTCTGGATCATTACAGATGTTAAAATCAATGAGGTAGACATGCAATGAGTCCAATAGCCATTCTGGATCATTCAAGATGATAAAATCAATGAGGTAGACATGCAATGAGTCCAATAGCCATTCTGGATCATTACAGATGTTAAAATCAATGAGGTAGACATGAAATGAGTCCTATAGCCATTCTGGATCATTCAAGATGTTAAAATCAATGAGGTAGACATGAAATGAGTCCAATAGCCATTCTGGATCATTTAAGATGTTAAAATCAATGAGGTAGACATGAAATAAGTCCAATAGCCATTCTGGATCATTTAAGATGTTAAAATCAATGAGGTAGACATGAAATAAGTCCAATAGCCATTCTGGATCATTTAAGATGTTAAAATCAATGAGGTAGACATGAAATGAGTCCAAAAGCCATCTGGGATCATTCAAGATGATAAAATCAATGAGGTAGATATGAAATGAGTCCAATAGCAATCCTGGATCATTCAAGATGATAAAATCAATGAGGTAGATATGAAATGAGTCCAATAGCAATCCTGGATCATTCAAGATGACACTATCAATGAGGTAGACATGAAATGACATGAAATGACATGAAATGACATGAAATGAGCCAATACCCATCCTGGATCATTCAAAATGATAAAATCAATGAGGTAGACATGAAATGAGTCCAAAAGCCATCTTGGATCATTCAAGATGATAAAATCAATGAGGTAGATATGAAATGAGTCCAATAGCAATCCTGGATCATTCAAGATGATAAAATCAATGAGGTAGATATGAAATGAGTCCAATAGCAATCCTGGATCATTCAAGATGACACTATCAATGAGGTAGACATGAAATGACATGAAATGACATGAAATGAGTCCAATACCCATCCTGGATCATTCAAGATGATAAAATCAATGAGGTAGACATGCAATGAGTCCAATAGCCATTCTGGATCATTCAAGATGATAAAATCAATGAGGTAGACATGAAATGAGTCCAATAGCCATTCTGGATCATTCAAGATGATAAAATCAATGAGGTAGACATGCAATGAGTCCAATAGCCCTTCTGGATCATTCAAGATGATAAAATCAATGAGGTAATCATGCAATGAGTCCAATAGCCATTCTGGATCATTCAAGATGATAAAATCAATGAGGTAGACATGCAATGAGTCCAATAGCCATTCTGGATCATTCAAGATAATAAAATCAATGAGGTAGACATGAAATGAGTCCAATAGCCATTCTGGATCATTCAAGATGATAAAATCAATGAGGTAGTCATGCAATGAGTCCAATAGCCATTCTGGATCATTCAAGATGATAAAATCAATGAGGTAGACATGCAATGAGTCCAATAGCCATTCTGGATCATTCAAGATGATAAAATCAATGAGGTAGACATGAAATGAGTCCAATAGCCCTTCTGGATCATTCAAGATGACAAAATCAATGAAGTAGACATGAAAACAACTATATTCTTTGATTAAATGACGCCTGAGCTAATATATTATGCATGAATATATCGTTATAGAATATACGTGATGAACTAGACTTTTTTTGAATTATTTATTCAGAACTGCGAGATCTGATAACCGACAACAAACAAGTTATCAAGTAATGATAAAGCATAGAATCCTGACAATATCTAACAATCTACCAGATCAATACAATTTGTGATAGCAGTTAAGATAAAGATAAACTATTTTTGAATAAAAGGGACCATAGAAAACAGTCCAACGTCAAATGGAATTCAGATATTCAATAATTCAGAACATTAGAATTTGCGTTGATGACGGATTTTTTTTTTTTTTTTTTTTTTTTTTTTGTTATTAAAAGGAACTACAGAAAGAAAGTAACACTTAAAGATGGGTTCCCTTATTTTCATTTGTAAAAATGAAAACGCTAATACTTATATATATAGAAAGTAGAGGTGTTCTAATGACTTGGAAAAGTACCATTTTGTCTCACATGTCCATAATTGATTCATAATTAGCTAAATTAGAAGAGAATTACAAGTAAAATTCCAATGAATGACCGATCATGTGACATGCATGGACATTTATGATTGGTTTTTGACACTAAAAAATAAGGAAAACCATCTTTAAATGGGGCCAATTTAAAGCCAATTGAACCAGCAAATCTAACCAGAAGTTTGAATGGTGCAAATAGAAAACTTTAGGTGTCCCAAATGCCCATCACAGACTAGGAAATCTTCAGAAATATTACTACTGAAGACTATTTAAATATATTCAAGACCCAAACCGACCCTAAAATTGGCACACCTGTCTCTTTAAGCTTCGATGCTAATGATGATAAGTTCTTATTGAATTGCAGGAACCACAAAAGTCATAGAGGAAACGGGAACTGCGCACATAATAGCTGTAAGTGTTTCCGACAATTTATTTATTTAATGTAGAGGATGTTATTTTCTAACCAAGTATTTTTAGAATTGCAGGAACCACACAAGTCGTGGAGGAAGTCGACATGGTGCCAGTACAAGACTACTGACCTGCAAGTAAAACTATTTATCTCGAAGTGTGGACGTTAAATTATTTAAAATATTTCCATATAGTTCCACTATTTAAATATTGAGCGCTATGTTAACAATGATAATGTTTTGTTTGTACTTGTAAGACGATATCACAATATTTTTACTGCTTAAATTTATTTAATTGAATATAATCTATGATGGAAAAGAACTAATGCTGCATCGCGTGGAACAGAATGAAAGTTTCCATCGAAGTTATTGCTTGAATTATGCTAATATTATAAAGAACGCTTAAGGTATTGATGTCTATTGTTTCAAATATTGATTAAAAATTCTTTTCTCGATTAAGGAGAAAAAATCGATACAAATTATTTTTTTTTTAAGACCAAGTTTTTATTGACTGACCGCATTGGCCTCGATTGGCTCTGTGAATTGTTAAATTAAAATGTTTCAACACATCACGAGTCATCTAGTGATATGACACGACAATAGAGTTCAGTAGGTAGAAGTATTCATATACTACTACTAACGTTATAACAGAGTGACTCGTTCAGTAGACAAAACAATAAAAACACTACGTAACGTTACAACAGAGTGACTCGTTCAGTAGACAAAACAATAAAAACACTATGTAATGTTATAACAGAGTGACTCATTCAGTAGACAAAACTATAAAAACACTACGTAACGTTATAACAGAGCGACTCGTTCAGTAGACAAAACTATAAAGACACTAGAGAGCGTTACAACAGAGCGACTCGTTCAGTAAACAAAACAATAAAAACACTACGTAACGTTACAACAGAGCCACTCGTTCAGTAAACAAAACAATAAAAACACTACGTAACGTTACAACAGAGCGACTCGTTCAGTAGACAAAACTATAAAGACACTACGTAACGTTACAACGGAGCAACTCGTTCAGTAGACAAAAAACTACGTTACGGTGCATCAGAGCGACACAACCATAAAATCACTATGTAACGTTAAAACAGAGCAACCCGTTCAGTAATAAAACACTTGGCAACAATGAATGAATGAAGAAGGCTTACCCCATGATATATTTAAAATAAAGCGTAGTGCCAGTCTTTTCACAGGTTTTCGGAGTCGTTGTTAAGTTACAGTTGTTTAGTGTGAGCGCCTCCTGACCGTAATGATTTACTATTATAATTCTGGACTGAAAAACAGAATAAAAATTCTTGTACTCCTTAACTTTAAACTCTGTGGCAATGGAATAGTTCATTCGGTAACAAGTTGGATGGTTGTCTGTTAATACAGTGGGATAGCTGAGTGGTGGTTGTCAGGGAGATATTGGCAGGAAAAGGGGTTAAATTCTGCATTTGATGCAAATTGAAAGAACATTCTTTCAATATAATTACAATGAACAAATTGCATATTTCCACTGAAACATTTTAAGCCGAGCCACCACTGAACGACCATTGTAGAGGACGGACGGACGGACGGACGGACGACCGATCAAGATGATGGGGGGAGAGAGACATAGAGTTGTCACTGAACGACCATCGTAGAAGACGAACGGATGGACGACCGATCAAGATGATGGGGGAGGGAGACATGGAGTTGTCACTGAACGACCATCGTAGAAGACGGACGGATGGACGACCGATCAAGATGATGGGGGGAGGGAGGCATAGAGTCGCTACTGAACGACCATCGTAGAAGACGGACGGATGGACGACCGATCAAGATGATGGGGGGGTGGGGGGGAGGGAGCCTAGAGCCAGCACTGAACGACCATCGTAGAAGACGGACAGATGCACGTATGGACAGTTGATCAAGATGATGACGTATCAAAATAGAATACCATACCTCTACGACATTCAGCGTTGAATAATTTGTGGAGCTTTTATAATCCATACCCGCGTTAGTCTCTCCTATATTCCATATACTGTCGTTTTCATGTGAGGGGTCAGTTGCCATATTTGTATTAGTACCAGTTCCCTCCAACAGCTCACCGAATGTGTTATCGGATTCGGCGCGCGATACTATTACGTTGATTG